CTGCCCTCCCGTGCCTGCAGGTCCCCAGGCAGAGTTCTCTGCACCTGCTGCTGCCTCCCTCAACCAGGAGGACATGTTGCTCCCAGCCCTAGAAATCTGTGACTTCTTTTTTTTTTTTTTTTTTGGTACTAGGGATCGAACTCAGGACGTTGTGCTTGTGAGGCAGGCACCGGAACCACTGAACTAAATCCCCGGCCCTAAATCTGTGACTTCTTGCAGTCCTCTGCCCCCGAGTCTAACAGCCCCTACTCCACAGAGCCTTTCATTATCATGCTGTCATCATTTCAGGGTTTGACATGGACGCCAGTGAGCATGGGGCCATTTCAACATCCACTGGCAAGCTGGCATCTCCCTCAGGGACCAGTCCCACGTCATTCTCCTGTCCTACTCTTCCAGAACGGCATCTTATTAATCGTGCTTTTTTGTTTTGAGACAGGTCTGGCTGTGCAGCCAGGCTGGCCTCCAGCTCACTGCAATCTTCCTGCAAGTGGTAGGAGTACACATGTGCACCACCACGCCTGGCTCCAGCCTGCCTTTTGTAACTTTATTTTCTGACTGGGAAATGCACGTACATGGTACAATATTTAATTGTGAAAAGAATGCATACGGTGAGAAGTTCTTCAACCACCCCCTAGCTTCCCAGTCTGCCCATGAGACCGACAGTGCTAGTAATGTTAATGTTTTCATTTTTAAGGCTCATACAAAATCTGGTCTGTTTATATGTTTAGTGTTAGGCCAATCTGGCTGCTGTATAGAAGCAGACAGCTGTGGGGCAACAGCAGAGCAGCACAGTGGTCACTAAGGTGTACCGCAGCGACGGCCTGGAGCCGCATGGCATCAGAGCAGTGGCCCACGGGCCTGGGGGCTCAGCCACACTAACCCGCGGTGTGACGGGAAGGGCCCTGCTCCACCGCACACCTGGGGAGGCGGACAACGCACCGCAGGCAGAGACTAAGATGAACAGGAACCAAGAGATTCAACATATCCCTTTGCCACGTTCCACACAACCTGGCGACAAAACTCGCTCCAGCCAGGGCCCTGTGCGCATGTGTGTGCATCCGTGTGCGCAGGGTTTGGGTGGTGCCAAGGGTTAAACCCAGGGCTTCACGCATGCAGGGCAGGCACTCAGCGTGGAGTTGCACCCCAGCCCGGTGTGCCTCAGGTGAGGGCAGCATCTGTGCAGTTTCCTCCCGGATCTGCAAACAGCTGCGGGGCATCCCCAGTGTTGTTTCCTACCGGAAATAACTGCCTCTGTGCAGTTTAGGATCATCTTCGTGTTTCTGTAACTGTGTCCCGTCTCCGGGAACTTCAGTTTCTAAAGTACTTTGCAGGTTATAAATTAAATAATAAATGTTAAAAAATTGTTTTGGTACCAGAGATAGAACTCGGGTCCTTGCGCAGCAGGCGGCGAAATCACGGAGCTAAATCCCCGGCCCAAATGTTAAAATGTTTAATCAATACATTTTGATTTCTTATGAATAATCAAAACATTGGAATAGAAATAATACAGCACGGGTCCCCCCTCCCCAACAAAATGTTTCCAAATGAAACACCTGCTAGTCTTGAGAGCTGGGTTACACTCTTTACAGCAGCCTAACTTTACACGTTTGAACAAAAACCTACACACCTCCTACAAACTGAATAACTTGTTCCTCCAAATCAAGTACTCCACTTTTGAGCCTGGCATGGTGGCGCATGCCTGTCATCCCAGCACTTGGGAGCCTGAGGCAGGAAGATTGCCATGAGTTCAAGGCCAGCCTGGGCTACATAGCAAGACGCTGTCTCAAAAAACCAAAACCAAAAACCCAAAACTCTACTTGTCCTCAAGCTCCCTGCCTACGTCACCAAGCATGCAGGGACAGGCACTCACTGCTCCAGGAGCTGGAGTGCGGGGGTCCGAACCCTGGACCACACCCTCGACATCATAAACACAGGGTGTTTGGGGTGGGGGGGCAGACCCTGGGAGGCTCCAGGGTCCCCACAGGCGTTCACCTGAGTGAACCACGCTGAGATGAAACTGTGCTTCAGAGGAAGAGCTACTCCCGGCATTGCTCTGGGGCTGCAGATGGATGAGACCCCAAAGCCAATAAAGGAACGAAACAGTGAGACCCCATCTCTGTGGAGGGAAGGCAGCGCTGAGAAAATGGGACAACAGGGAAGAAAGCCGAGCTCATGAAGGACCAGCCAGCACCTAGAGAAACAGGTGACAGGGGAGGAGCAAGTGGTAGCGTGTTCCTCGACGTGGACTTCCAGTATGCAGCAAAAACGGTATCAGACAGGCAGAAATCGACAGACAGCAGTACTGAGCTGTCTTCATTCTACCTCAAGCCAAAGGAGGCCAGCTTCACCCTCAATTTAGGAGATGTTCCTAGAAATCACAGCCAGACCCAACCCTGGCACAGATGTCTGTTCGAGAGGCTCTACGGGTGCCTCTGCCAAAGTCTGATAAAATCTGAGCATGGCAGGCGTTCAGGGCCCTGGGATCTCTGTGCTTTGAAGAAGTCTTACAAAGAGCAGGGCCCAAGCAGCAGGCGGTGCTGTCCAACGTCACCGAGAGCGCTGTCCCCATCGCTCCAAGTCTAGTCTCAGGAGGGGCTGCCGGGCCCAGGGCAGGGTCCCTGTGGCTGTTGCCCACCCCTGGCTCATGCTGAGTACAGTTCTCAATGCTCAGACCTCCATACGGGAGTCAGACGCCAGGCAGGGAAAGGTCAAGGCCATGACTGAAGACAGCTAGGTCATTTCAGCACCTGGCAATTAGTATTTCTAAGCTAAGAGATGAAAACAGGGTACAAATTTGTACATAAAATACAACTTCACATGCACACATCAGCTCCCTGACCACGCCGGCCTGCAGCCATAACAGACCTGGCATCTCCAGCTGCTGCCAGCCTCTGGCCCCACCTGCTCCCCACCCACACCCTGCGAGGAGAGAGAGGGGTTCTCCGCCGAGCAGACCGCCCCACCTCGGAGTGCTGGCTTCCACCTTCAGACCAAGTGTCGTATTTTTTGGGGGGGACTAGGATTGAACCCTGGGCCTTTGGCATCCCCACTCCTTTATTTTAATTTTGAGACAGAGTATCACTAAGTTACTACATTGGCCCAGCCAGGCTGGAACCTGGGGTCTTCCTGCCTCGGCCTCCCAGAGTGCTGGGACAACAGGTGTGAACCACCACACGCAGTCTCTACCTGTAGTGAGGTGAGTTAGAGGTCTAAGACCGGGGCAACAACATGTAGCTGCTGAGGATGAGAACACAGTACGTTTTCCTTAGAGGAGGATAAGGAGAGACAGCTTCCTCCACGGGAACTTCCTGTGACCTGCGCCGTTTTCATCAGTGCTTTCCTGAGGCCAGCCCTGGGCAGACCAGGGTAACAAAGTCTCCAAAACCACGGCCTTCCACACTGCACTTCTATCCTCAAACTACCTGGATCCCAGACATCATGACCACTAAAAAGGGAGACCTGGCCGAGTGCAGTGGCACACACCTGTAATTCCTGCACACTGGGAGGCTGAGGCAGGAGGAATGCAATTTCATTTATTTATTTGGTACCAAAGATCGAACTTGGGTCCTTCCGCTTGCGAGGCAGATGGTGGAACCACTGAGCTAAATCCCCGACCTGAGGATTGCAACTTCACCCCAGCCTAAGCAATTTAGCGACACCTTGTTGCAAAATAAAAAAGGGCTGGAGGTGTAGCTCAGTGCAAAGGTCCAAAATATAAATGTCTAGGCTGGGCATGGTGGTGCACACCTGTAATCCCAGCACTTGGGAGGCTGAGGCAGGAGGGTCCCTGTGAGTTCAAGGCCAACCTGGATTACATAGTTCGATCTTGTCTCAAAAAACCAAAACAAACAAACAAAATGAATAATTCTAAGGTTTTTTGGTACTGGGGATTCAGTACCTTGTACTTGCCAGGCAGGTGCAGTGCCACTGAGCTAAACTCCCTGGCCCAGGAAAATGATTAGAATTTTAAAATAATATTTTTTACAAAAGTGCTAAGGCCCCAGCCTCAATCCTCAGCCCCGGTGGAATGGCCTGGCCCAGGGCACAGCACCCCATCTTCCTGCAGTTTGCCGAAGCCTGCTCACAGTGCCCAAACGAGCTGAGCCAACCCACTCGCCTCCAAGAAGCCAGGGCAACCTGTCCAGAGTTCAAATGCCCTCCTGCTGCTCCCCCCACACCACCCACAGGGCTCTGGGCCACAGGAAGGGATGTGGGGGAGCTCCTGCCCAGGGCCCCATCCCCTCCTTCCACAGCGTCCTCCTGCTCCCAGCACAGCACCCCCACAGGCACCAAGCAGCGCACTCTCTGATTCTGTCCCCACGGGAACATGGTCAGCTGTGGCATGCTGCTGAGACGCCGATGTGACCGACGGAGAAATACGGTGAGCCTGAGAGGGGCCCAAAGTCCCAGCTCCACAGAGGCTGAAGCTCGAGGAGGGTGGAGGGAGGAAGGTGAAGGACCACAGTGAACACACGCAAGGCAAGATGGAGAAACGGGCGGATCCAGGGAGAAGGGACACAGGACAGCTTAGGAGACGCGCAGGCTTCCTGTTCAGATGTCGGCGGCTTCCAGCCTGTTTCCTGAGAGCTCGGAAGCCCGATGTCACAGAGCCCTGATCTGGAGACACGCAGGGCCAAGCCCCGCGGGAGTCTCACACTGCTGTCCACCCTCTCCCAGGACACAACTACGTCCGCTCAGCACGCGTTTCTGTTTCTTTCCTACAAACTACAAGGTGAGGTTTTCCTTTAAGCAGGAAAAACAGGGCAGATTGTAAACTACACATGTAAAAGGAACAAATGACATGAGATTCCTAGAAGATCTTTGGACTCTGTAGATCAAGACCTCTTGATCAACAGCTCAAAGCTTAATACTCTGATACACTTGGACACCAAAAGAAACAGTGAAAACTGAAGTATAAATATCAGTTTCTAAGGTCTACCTAATGTGATGTCAAACAGTTTCACAGACGAGAAAGTGTCTCTCATCTCTGCATGTCTTACCGGGACGTAATAGATGCCCATCTTGGGGGCCTCGTTGGCAGTGAGGAGCATTCCTAAAAGCAAACATAAGGACAGAAGTGAGTGTGGGGAGAACTGCCCTCTGCTACGCGCTTCCTGCTGTGAGTGCTGAGAGGCGTGGTCTGTGGTGACCTGCAGCCCAAGCCCAACCCCACCAAATCCTTCAAATATACAGATTTAGGCTTCGCATGCTGGTGCACACCTGTCATCCCAGCACTTGGGTGGCTGGGGATGCAGCTCAGTGTAGAGCACTGTCTTGGTACATACAAGTCCCTGGGTCCAGTGCCCTTTAACTGCAAAAATAAGTGAAGTTCAAAAGAGAAAGAAAAGATCAGCTTGTGGAGTCCTGCATAAACCCTTCCCATTCTATTTCACAAATGTACCCAGCTGCGAGCCAGGCATTGCCCCTCAGGTGTGGATGCTGGGCTCAGTGACCAGGGGATCCACCCTGGGCAGCCACTTCCCAAGCCCAAATCCTGGCTTCTCCGCCCCCACCAGTGCTCCTGCATCCACCAACCCTGCTTCCACAGGGCCCGATGGGACCAGACACACAGGCTCCGCAAGCACCCATGTCATCGGTCTGGGGCACATGGATGTCACAGCTGCTGCAGGACGCCTAGGTGCTTCACGGAGGACAGTGTGAGGCCAGGAGCAGAGCTGTGAGTGAGCCTGTGAGGCGGGAGCCTTCCCCATGTCTGGGCGGCCCTGCCCGGGTGGCACCCACCTGTAATCCCGCCACCTGGGAGCCGAGGCAGGAGGAGTGGCACAAGTTTAAGACCAGCCTGTCTCAAAAAACATTTGTTTTTGGAATACTGGGGATGAAAGCCAGGAGACACAGCTACACACCTGGCTTGTTTCCCTTTTTATTTTGAAAAAAGGTCTCTCACAAAGTTGCCCAAGCTGGTGCCCAAATCGTAGCCCTCCTGCCTTGGCCTCCTGAGTGGCGGGGACTACAGCCGGGCACCACGGCTTGGGTAATCAGTAAAGGGCTTCCTGTGCCGGTTCTTCTTCTGCCTGAGCTCTGCCACCGCCTCTCCCGAGGGCCCCTGGGTTCGGCCTCCAGGGAGCTCCTCAGCTCCTCCACGCCTCCTCCATCCCCAGAAGCCCAGCCCCTATCCCGGGTCACTCTACAGCCTCCTCCATCCCGGGTCTCACACCCACACCCTGCTCCCGCCTACCGCGGTGCTCCTAAAGGGGTGCAGGTGCGTGTCTGGGCCCCACCCCACAGGAGGCTGGGACTACACTTCCTCAGCCTCCGGAGGTGCCGCTGCCATCGCCTCTATTACTGTGCCGCCCGGCGTGGAAGCCGACAGGAGGGCTCCTGCCGCCTCAGGGGCTATGGCAACTCAGCATCACTTCCAGCACACCCATCTCAGCCTCACCTTTCCAGCTCTTGGGGGTCCCCGCCCTCACCCCACCCAACCTAGCTCTCTCCCTCCAGGCTCCGCTTGCTGCGCGGACTGTGCATGGCACACTTTGGCTCTGCAGCCCGGGCCGGGGGCCCCACAGACGGGACTCTGTCCCTGCCTGTCCCACTCCTTTGTCCCATCCCAAATGGACGCTGCGTGTTGAAATCCGTGCTGCGCCTTGCTGAATGGCTGAACGGTGCACAGCATAGAAAGCACAAAGCCCAGGATTCCACGAGGCCTCTGTTTGCTTCCTGGGACCCAAATCCCTAGCGCTCCAGGCACTTCTACAGGCACTTGGGTATCACACAAGAGCCCCGCACACCTGCCCCCACCTGCACGCACGTGCCCATGGTGCCGCTGACAGCAGGCGGCGGGCTGAGTCAGCCGGGCCTCTTTCTGAGTCACCCGAGCCACTTCCTGTCACAGCCTCCCAGCAGGACAGACACCAGGGACTGTTGTGACCAAGCCAAACTGTCCTGAGAGGACAAAGTAGCTCAGACCCCAAACCCATGGTGAGTGCAGACTTCACCGCACACCCTGGCTGCGCAGTACACACCTGAGCCGGGGTACAGGCAGACGTCATTGAGGTCATGTTCTGGCTCCAAGGAGGTAAATATTTTCCCCTAAAATGGGACATACAAATACATGATTAGGATGGCTAAAAATAACAAGCTTTGGCAACGTCACCTAGAGAGACCGGAGACAGTTCTCAGCCATCTGCTGCCACACAAAGTGCAACAGCCTAGCTGTGAAATTTAGAACTGAAGCCAGGCGTGGTGGTGCATGCCTGTAATCCCAGCACTCCAGAGGCTGAGGCAGGAGGATTGCCGCAAGTTTGAGACTAGCCTGGGCTACAAAGTAAGACTCCATCTCAAAAAACCAAAAAAACCCCAAAAAGAAAGAATTTAGAACTGAAAACCTTCAGAGAATGTGATTATGACTGATTAAATGCTTGCAGTTTAGAGGTGAAGAAACTGAGGCCCGGACAGGAGAGGTGACTTGTCTAAGGGGAAAACCCCCAAAGTTTTAAAAATGAAGGCTGCATGGCAGAGAAAGGAAGGGTTAGAATGTGTTGTAGGTCAGCTCTGCTGAGTCTGTGTGCCTGGGACCTGGGCCAGCACCACTCAGAGCCCCAGAGGAGGAGAGGCCAGCATGGGACCCCAGGGCTCAGCCACGCGGGACTGCACCGCTCAGAGAGGGCACAGGAGTCGGTGGGAGGTGCAGGGGGGAACCTACCAGGCACGGCTGGTGCCACCAACACACAGCGAAGGCGAAAGTGCTGCTGTTTCAGGTGTGAAGAGCACGATGGGACTGGAAAAATGAAGGGAAGCAAAAGGCAGAAGGTGGGTGCAAAGCGGGGTATAGGGTGCACACCTGTAACTGCAGCACTCAGGAGGCTGAGGCAGGAGGATTGAGAGTTCTAGGCCAGCCTGGGTTATTTAGCAAGTGCAAGGCGAGCCTGGACTTGTCGGAAAAGAAAAGGGAGTGCGGGTGGATAGAGAAAAGCAAAGAGAAAGATAAACAAGTCAGGCAAGAAAGCAAGTCCTGCAAATCTGAGTAATCTGGGCGTCAGTCTGGAGAAGTATTTAGTCATAAGAAACAAAAAAGGTCGAACTGAAATCTACCAGAGCAAGCAGAACATGAGGGCTTTGTGTCCATGCTGAGAGGTCCTCCAGCTCCTGAAGCAGCTGAGAGTCATGGCCAAAAGCCTCGGGAGCTCCAGGGCAGAGGGGTGCAGGGAGCAGAGCTGGGGACAGAGGGGGCTGTGTGCTCAGAAACCACGGCCCAACTCGGATTCCACAGAGCCACGCAGCCACCATCCTCCTTCCCATGTTCCTGGGAAGAGCATGAGGCTGTAAGATCATGAGACAAAAGGAAAAAAAGTGGGCACAAGTTTTTGCCTGTAGTCCCAGAACTCAGGAGGCTGAAGCAGGAGGATTGCCGAGAGTTCAAGGCCAGCATGGGCTACATAGCGAGACTCTGTCTCAACGGAAAAAGATGTTTTTTCTAATTAAAGGTAAACAATTCTTAAAAGCACTGCTATACTGGATCCATTTTTCCAGTTTACTGGATGAACTATTTTCTCAAAATATTTAAGTTTCAAAATAAAAAACAAAAAGCAGGTGAATTAAAACCAGAAATACAGGATTTTGTTATTTTTTAAAATCACACTCAGAGTTGAAAGGAGGCAATGTCACAATATTCTTAAGAAAATACTGTTTTTATTTTTATTTATTTCTTTGAGACAGGGTCTTAGTGTGTAGTTCAGGCTGGCCTTGAATTCACTATGCAGCCCAGGATGGCCTTGAATTCATGGCAATCCTCCTGCTTCAGCTTCCCAGCCCAGTGCTGGGATCATAGGCATGTGCCACCATGCCTGGCTCCATTTTTAAAGAAATAACTCCAAAGCTGTCATCTCTAAAGTCCACCTCTTTGAGGTAGGGAAGAGGTAAAAAATGGATGTAAGATGACACAGCATGGAAGGAGGCGTAGCTCCTGAAGACTTTCCCAGGGACACAGGGGGTCCTCAAGGATGGACTTATTTTTATAATAAGGTCTTGCTATGTAGCCCAGGCTGGCCTTAAACTTGCAATCCTCCTGCCTCAGCTTCCTGAGTGCTGCGATTACAGGTGTGCACCACATATGCCACAAGGCCCAGCTTAGTGACAGGCTTTCTTAAACAATGATTTTTTTTTTTTTTTTTTTTTTTTTGTGCCGGGGATCGAACTCGGGACCTTGCGCTTGCGAGGCAGGCGCCGGAACCACTGAGCTAAATCCCCAGGCCTAAACAATGATTTTTTTTCTCTACCTGATTCAACATCAAAAGTGCAAGCCAATGTTAGCAAAGTGGAAAACCTCTGAACAGGAAGAACTCCATCTTGACTTTGTAAATGAGTTTTTTATCCTGAGTAACTGACTTCCTCCTAATTCCCAAATAGACATGAGGGATCTCATTCAAGAACCAACATTACACACACACACACACACACACACAGAAGGAATAAAAGGAACATTAGGAATATATCCAAATAAAAAAGGAAGTAATTTCACCAAAAAGCACCTACTGAGTTCTTATTCCACATTTTGATGATGCGAGAGTCTGCTGACAGAATCAAATCTAAAGCGTCCTGGAAGTGGATGGACTTGATGGGCAGCCCATACTGGTGATCCTTAACTAGCAGTGGCTTACTGGATCGAAGGTCATATAATAAAACCTGAGAGAAAAACACAAGTTACTTTTGCTGAAACAAAACATTCTACCTTAAAAGTAAGAACAGTGTGGCTGCCAAATGTTTTATTACCTCCATCTTTTTGTTTTTGTTTTGTTGAGACAGGGTCTCACTGTGCAGTTCAGGCTGGCCTTGAACTCACTATGTAGCCCAGGCTGGCCTCAAATTCATTTCAATCCTCCTGCCTCAGCCTCCCCAGTGCTGGGATTACAGTTGTGGGCTATCACAAACTTTTTGTTTGTTTTTTGGTATTAGGGATGGAGCTCAGGTCCTTATGCTTTTCAAGGCAGGTGTGGTGCTGCTGAGCTATGTCCTCAGGCCTTCATTTACTTTTTTTTTTTTTTTCCTTCATTTACTTTTTAATGAACACAATGACAGCCCTTAGAGCACCAGCATCCTGCAGTCAGCTGGCTACACTGACAATGCCTCACAATGCCTGGATTTACAAATACAAGCCTGAGAGCAATTTCTGGCACGCTAGGTTGCACACTAGGAAAGACACTAACGGGAAGCGTACGTGGGACAACAGCCAGGCCTGAGCCTCGCTGGCTGCTCTGCCCAAGCCACACCCAGCCTCCATCTGTGAATGGACGCTTGGAGGGTGGCAGGGGAACAGTTCTGGCAGACTCAGGCCCAGCTGGGAGAAGGAGACTCTTCTGCCCCTGCCATGAGCTCAGTCTCCATCTCAGCTCCGGGTCGGGAAACCACTAGAGGTGCGACCCTGGGTCCAGCAAACTCCTGAGCCTGTAGGCTCTGCCTTCTTCGGGGAAAAGGAAGCTCACTGGACAGTGTGCTGCTGCAGGGCTCCGGGGGTGCAGGGTGCACTCTGCCCACTGAGATCTCAAGCGAGAGGGGCCCCACAGCCTGCTCCCCACCCCAGGGCCCCAGGCTCCCCGCCCTCTGAGCCGCCCACATGAGCCCACCCAGCCACACACCTGCCCGGTGGACGTGCCCACTGCCATGGTGAGGGCACCACTGAACCGCAGGGCAGAGATGGTCGGCAGGCTGCTGACCCTGAAAGGCAAGTGACAGAGTGCAGGTGACAAGGTCAGCACTGACCTTCACATAGTCCCAGGGAAAGCACAGCCCTCTCTTTATCTAGAGGGTGATGATTCCAACCCTGCACAAATAAATGCACACTGCCTACAAGTGTGATCTACCCATCTCCCCTTTCCACTAAGCCAGGAAGAGGAATCCGCAGAAACACTACCATTCTTACTCAGGAGGGAACAGGTTTATTGTGGACGTGTGGATGCCTGGTTCCATCATGGACCACATCCATAGCCACGTGTGGGGCATGCGCCTGTCATCCCAGCACATGGGAGGCTGAGGCAGGAGGGTCACTGAGAGAAAGAAAGAAAGAGAGAGAAAAAGAAAGGGAAAGGCCAGGCCAGGCCAGGCCAGGCCAGGCCAGGCTGGGGCAAGGAGGAGAGGGGAGGGAAGGAGCAGAGTGGAGCATTCTGTATAGTACTTTAGAAAAAAACTATCTGGCTTGCCTACTTAGTTGGCATGAGTCATGAGAGACTTAGTCATGAGAGAGACTGTTACGTAGAATAAACAGACAGCTTCAGACCTAACTCTTTTGGGTTTCATCCTTTGGCAATGCACTTTAACTTCCTGTTGGTCCACTGCTAAATCAGAGAGCTGAAGGAAATTACACACGTTAGCTCCTACTCACTCTGAGTCCACTGTGACGCTGTTTAGGGCACAGTCCAGCAGACCGACTCTGCTCCGGGCTCTAGGGTCCCAGCACTCCACTCGACCCTACACAAATGAAGAGCCATTCATTCATTCACTGAGACAGGGCCTCACTATGGATGATTGTCCTGCCTCAGCCTCCTGAGTGCTACAATGACAGGTGTGCATGACCACACCTGACAACAATTTTAAATCAAAGCTGCTCTGAGAAAAACTTTAAACACATAGAAAAATAAGCTTTATTAACAAGGATTACCTCATGGGGAATAAAAACTTTAACTTTTTACCTTATACTCTTTTTAGTACCATTTAACTGTTTTTACCATGAGCTGATTGCTTTTATAATTAAAGAAAGAAAAACACTGGTGACGAAAGAGTTCCAAGCGCACTGTAGGACCTCTGACTGGACCCTCGCTTGATAGTGGGGGGAGGCCTGAAAGGCACTCTGGTATAAGTGGGGGGACTTAAATATCAAAATATTATTGTATCAGTGTTAAACAGTTAAAATAATTTTATCAATATTAAATTCCTCAGTAATGACAAAACTATTAGAATTTTACAGGAGAAAGTCCTTTTGTGTTCTTGCATTCTTTGTTTTTTTAGATAGAGGCCCACTAGGTTGCCCAGGGTGGCTCAAATTCCTGGGCTCAAGCAACCCTCCTGCCTCAGCTTTCCCAGTAGCTAGGACCACTGCTTAAGTCTTCATTTTTAAGAAATACTTGGGGGATGAAATGTCTGAAAACCCATGCTTTGTTTTCTTTTCTGGTTTTTTTTTTCAGTATCAGGGATCAAACTCAGGACCTTGAAGAACTTGGCGAGGCAGGTGAGGCTCCCCTGAACTAAATCCCCAGCCCCTATGCTTTATTTTCAAATGGTTCAAAAGAGTACTTTCAATATACATTCATATTTTCATAGAAAAACAAAAGGGCAAAATGTATATAAGTGATTACTGAACTAATTACTGAACATAATACATGTGTAGCTGTATCATTTTATTTTTTTCTTATCTCAGGGTTTTTCTGTTTTGTTTTGAGAGAGGGTCTCTCTATGTAGTTCGGGCTGGCCTTGAACTCTCTATGTAGCCCAGGCTGGCCTGGATCTTGTGGTGATCCTCCTGCCTCAGCCTCCTGAGTGCTGCTATTACAGGTGTGTGCCACCATGCCCAGCATATATCATTCTTTTTGATGCCTTAGGTTCTGTTTAGTATCCGGGTATGGTGGCGCCCGCACACCTATAGTCACTTGGGAGGCTGAGGCAGGAGGATCACCATGAGTTGGAGGCCAGCCTGGGCTACACAGTGAGAGCCTATCTCATTAAGAATAAAAAAAAAAATAAAGATTCTGTTTAATATTTGTACAGGGTGAATATTCCTATCTGAAATCCAAAATGTTTCAAAATCGGAAACTTTCTGATCACTGAACAAGTGGAAAATTCCACATTGAAATGTTACTTCATCCACAAAACCGTCTAAATTAACCTTGGAACAAATTCTCTACCATGAGTGTTATTATATATGCTTAAAGTGTACCAGTAAATGTTTTGCTATTAAAAAAATTAACCTCAGGTTTGTATGTAAGGTATCTGCGAAAGGCATATAAACTTTGTGTTTGGGCTGCGTCCTATTCCTGAGACGCCTCGTTAAGTGTGTGCAGAGAGTCACACATCTGGTCCCGAGCATGTGGGACGAGGGACACTCAGCCTCTCCGGTTAGCAATTTGCCTTTTTCAGACAGGGCTGCTCCACATGAAGCTGGACCGATCCATGCTACGGACTACTGAGACCAGAGGCCTGTCCCACCACAGCCGGCTCTAACTCCACCTTTAAATAAAACTCTACTTCTGAGCACATGTGAAACAGATATTTTAAAAAACAACATCAAGAAAAAAAAAAAAAACAACATCAAGGGGCTGGGGATTTAGCTCAGCGGTTTCGCCACCTGCTGCACAAGCGCAAGGACCCAGTTCGATCCCTGGTACCAAAAAAAAACAAAACAAAAAAACAACATCAACCTGGGATTTAGCTCAGTGGCTCCACCGCCTGGCTTGAAAGCACAATGTCCTGAGTTCGATCCCTGGTACCAAAAAATAAATAAAAACCATCAACCTATGCTTACCTCTATTGTTCCTGTGGCAAATAAGCCGTGCATGGAATTTATGTCACAGACGTTGTTCTCCCTGAGACAGTAAAGCAGCGGGACAGAGCAGTGGTTAGCGGGAGGGGATTGCAGGGAATCAGGATGTGTGGGGTCCGCACTGCCCTCCCCAGTGCCCCAGAGGAATGTGACCGCTCCACTGCACATGTGGACTCATACAAAGCGCATTATGGGCCTTACAAGTTCAAGGTCCCGAGTTCAATCCCCAGTACCAAAAAGAAAAAAAGACAAAGCCCGCGTTAGCACCGCTCCTGCAGGGAGAGGAACTCAGTAACTTTCTCAACAGACATTCAAGCACAGGGAGAGAGAAGACACGAGAATCCTCTCCCGTGCACCTTCGAAAGAGCAGCAGGAGCCCTGGAAGGGTTCAGTGCTTGCATGGTCATCAGCGTTTCTGATCCCAGGGTGACAGGCGACCTGCCAGGGGATAAGCACAGCAGGCTGCGGCTTCTGAAATATGAGTCCACATTGAGAAGAAAGCCTCATTCTACTCTCTTCCAGGCAAACAGACATCTTGGAGAAAGCAGGCTATCACCATGTCAGCCTGGGCCTAGACAACCTCACCTGGCTATCACCATGACAACCCCAGGGCTGGGCGTCCTCACTACACCTCCTTGGCTTCTCTGTAAGGCGGGGGTTTCACCCACCTCCTTGGACTGTGTGAAGATTAAATGGAAAAAAACAGCAAGTGGCCAGCAGTGTCCAGAGGACAGAAGACACTTGATAAATAACAGCTGTTACTACAAACAGGAAGTCAAACAGCAGAAAAGTGGATGACTTTCTTTCACACGATAATGTACTATGACATCGCAAGTTTTTTTTTCTTAAATAAAAACATTGCAGGCCAGTGTGGAACAAAAATATATTTAAGGTTTACTTGATTTTGTAATGTGCCCTGTGCTTCTAGTCTTTATCCTCCAAATGGAGGGAAGGAGAGAGAGGAGGGGATGTAAAATGAAGGTGCACTACATGCATGGGCCATCTCCCCTTGAGAAGTGTGATCATTGTGTGCTGCAAACATGGACTCATAGGCCGGGGATTTAGCTCAGTGGTTCCAGCGCCTGCCTCACAAGCACAAGGTCCTGAGTTCGAGTCCCAGTGCCCAACAAAAAACATGGACTCATAACCACCTGCCTTGCAAGCATAAGGTCCCGAGTTCGATCCCCGGTACCAAAAAATAAAACTTGTATTTCTTGATTCACTCATTCACATTCTGCAAATCCAAGGCTGCCGTCACAGAGCTACGTCCGTAGCCCTGTTCAAATTGGGATGCACAGTGCTCTTTATAACTAAGCTGCCCCTACCCGATCCCCGGGCACCCCACGCCCCCTGCTGGCCAAGAGGAACACTGCAAGGCACCCAGACACTCACGCGGCATCTGTCTGCAAGGGGTTCAGGTAACGGCCTTGTTCCAGGTTTAATCTGTAAACTTCAGAACTGCAAAATAACAAAGCAAGCTAAATGCCTGGGGAACGGTGATCAACTTGTAAGCACACAGAAGTTTCGTAAATATAAATTTCATAATTATATATATCACTCACAATTTACCTTCTTTGGTAAAACTGATAAAAAAAATCTGTTCTAAACCTATATTCACCTCATTTAGGAATTGCCATGTAAAAGAGTTAAACCACCAAGGAAAGATTAGGACGTCACTAAGGAGACTGAACATCCAAAAGTACCTAAAGTATCTAATACGAACATAAGACTAAGGCCAGAGATTTAGCTCAGTAGTGCCACCACTTGCCTCTCAAGCACAAGGTCCCGAGTTCGATCCCCAGTTCAAGAAAAAAAAAATGAACAAAAGACTAAAAAGCAACACAATAAAATACTAACACAGTTTCTTTGGGGTGGCATAACCATACAGCAAGATTTTTTCAAACTTTTCTGTATTTTCCCAATTTTCTAAAATAAATAACACATAATTTTTATATTCATAAAAAGGCAGCACTTAAGAATAAAGTTCTGGGGCTGGAGATTTAGCTCAGCGGTTCCGAGGCCTGCCTCACAAATGCAAGGACCCAAGTTCGATCCCTGGTACCAAAAAAAAAAAAAAAAAAAGAACAAAGTTCTGCAGTTGAGGACATAGGAGTAGGCAAAGACTTTATGAACAATTAGGACCTCATCTTATTAAAAAGCTTTTGCACAGAAAGAGAAACCACCAACGGTGTGAAGAGACAGCCCACAATGCAGGAAAAAATTTTACCAGCTATTCAGATAAAGGACTACTATCTAGAATATATAAAGAACTCAAGGGCTGGGGATTTAGCTCAGTGGTTCTGCCACCTGTCTCGCAAGTGCAAGGTCCTGAGTTTGATCCCCAGTACCAAAAAAACCCTAAAAAAAATCAGATCCCTCAAATTTAAAGACCCATAGCAAAAATGGGCATCTGAAATAAAGATACTTCTCAGATAAAGAATTAGAAATGGTAAATAAATATATGAAAAAATGTTCAACATCACTGGTCATTTGAGAGATGCAAATTAAAACAATGCTACGATTCCACCTCACCCCACAAAGAATGGCTGCTATCAAGAAATCAACCAATAACAAATGCTGGAGGGGTTGTGGAGAAAAGGAATCCTTCTCTCCTGCTGGTGGGAGTGTAGACTGGTGCAACCACTGTGGAAATCAGTATGGAGACACCCCAAAGAACTAGGACTGGAAGTCCCATTAGACCCAGCTATGTCTCTTCTTGGTATCTTCCCCAAAGAATTAAAAGCATCATGCCACAGCGATATATGCACACCCATGTTTGTAGCAGCACAATTTGTAATAGCTAAATCTTGGAAACAGCCCCAATGCCCATCAACTGACAAGTGGATAAAGATGTGGTTTTTTTTTATACAATGGAGTACTACTCAGCCATAAAGGATGAGATTCAGACATTTATATCTAAATGGATACACCTTGAGACCATACTCTTAAGTGAAATAAGTTGGACACACATGTTTAAATACCACATTGTTTCTCTGGTGTGAGAAACTGAATGTGGAAATAAGGACTGAGATGTATAATGGATGTTGGGAAATGGGAAGAAAGTGTTCAAACGGAAAGAAGAAGAAGGGAGGGAGGGAGGAAAGAGACAAGAAAAAAGTGAAAATAGAAGGAAAAAATGGAAACAAAGCTTCTGTACATAGGGACGGGAGGGGGCTTGAAGGGGGGAACAGGATAAAATAAAATGTATTTAAAAAAAAGAATAAAGTTCTGGAATCCCACGAGACAGAGCCAAGAAAGTGGCTTCCCCAGCAGTTCACCCTCCACACCCTTCCTGGGCAGCTCCCCAGCGGGCTCCTCTCTCCGCCCCAGCAGACAGGAAGGGTGAGCCCTGAGCAATTCGCACTACAACCCGAGGCAACTCCAAGGCAGGAAAAAGGTCTCATGTTTTTTAGGGTCCTCTCAAAAAATTTCTTTTCACTTTTGGTTTTTGTTAATCGGTCTGCTCATTTTTTTGTGGTACTGAGAGAACTCTGGGGTGTTTTGTCATGGAGCTACATCCCCAGCCCTCTTTTATGTTTTGAGACAAGGTCTTCCTAAGTTGCCCAGGCTGGCCTCCAATTTGCAATCCTCCTGTCTCAGCCTCCTAAGTAGCTGGAATTAGAGCCTCAGGCCTATTCTACTTGAAATAGTTCCACTGAAATACTCCAAGTAGTGATCAGCAACTATGTGGCGAGACCAATATGAGGCTATGTTTGCATTAACCTTTTAAGTTAAATGGTCACCGGTCTCCATAATGAAACGCCATGACACATGAGCCACGTGATCCATTACCACCGCCTTCATGATCTCAGGACTATTCTCAGCACCTGGCCCAAATGTCCTCCAACTACAGTCCCTTCATCACAAGATGACCCAGACAGAAACTCCTCACTGAGGCTAGGTGTGGTGGCACACATCTGTAATCCCAGCACTGAGGAGGCTGAGGCAGGAGGATCACTGCAAATTCGAGGCCAGCTTGGGCTACACACCAAGACCCTGTCTCAAAAAACAAAAACAAAACAAAATTATCACTGATACTGAACAAACCTAAAGCAGAAACTACAACTTTGGAGACATAAACAGAAATGTACAAAAGAAAAAGAAAAACAATACAATCTCACACAGTGAAGCATTTGAGATATATTCAACAGGCTTATGTATTTCCTATCAGTATTCCCGAGTTTAATTAACTACTGTGACATGTAATTATTATAAATATTTTTAATGTTAGAACATATTTTAGTAGGCAGTATAACAGGTGTTAAAATATCAGGAAGCCACTTGTAAATCAAATGCATTAATATGTAGAGCACTGGGGTTTTTTGTTGTTGCTGTTTATCCCTTGTTTTCTAAGACTTTTTTTTGTTGTTCTTTTTTTTGCAGTAACCACATAAACTTTATCAAGGCTAACTAAACAGATAAATAAAATGCACAAGAAATTTAGGAAGAGAAAGCGGTTATTTGGGAGGAGGAAAAAAGGAAGCAAAGAGTTTTGGCCCCAATACCTCGCACCGACAAAGTACAGGTCGCAGGACGGGTAGTGGTAGGAGAAATCCCTTCCAAACTTGGGTATTCTGGTTTTGTAATAAAAACCTGATTGTGAGTGAAATTCAATATACCGGTCGTTATGCAAGAAGACAATCTGCAAATGAAACAAAAAAGTGGGTTTGCTCGGGTTTCTAGGCGAAGAGTTTATTTCATCGTCATCAAAACTAGAGAGCAGGGAACACAGTCTCTGTCTCCTCCACCCCTCAAGCCTGTGCACACACGCTCCCACGGCACGAGGAACCCACATGCTGCATGGGTCCCATAGGCCTTCGGGGCCCTGACAGCTTCCTGTACACCTCCGCTTCTAAGTGAAGGAAGTGAAACAAACGCTGCTGTGTCTCCCGCATGAGCATTTTACAACTCCACAGTGAGCACAGGGAGGATTTCCTACTCCACTTAGGGATGCATTTTACTAATCCTGCAGTTATCACATCGCTTGATAAGCTCTGTATGAATTTAAATTGGGCACAATTTAAAAGGCTAAAGTGTGCCTCAGTTTCCAGAAATGAAGAGAGTATGTAAAGCCACAGGAGCTAAGAAAATTCAACTTCCTTCAAGATGACAATTGATAGCACTGAAATAAATTTTGTTTTATTAAATTTATTTTAACTGGTACATAAAGACAAAACAATTGTACTTATTATAAGTGATCTCAAATGATGTTGCATAAAAAATTTTCATTTTAAATTGAATACTGCCAATTTCATAAGTGTTAAAAATGACCACCAGAGGGCCGGGGATTTAGCTCAGTGGTTCCACCACCCGCCTCACAAGCACAAGGACCGGAGTTCCATCCCTGGTACCAAAACAAACAAAAAAAAGAATTTAAGATCTTTTGAGTTATCAAATGGGGACTTTCATCATTTGTTTAAAAATACAAATCAGAAAAAAAAAATACAAATCAGAAATAATGGCAATGTTACTTGTGTAAACAGAATTGTTTGATTCCGCAAATTTCAGAGAATAGACAGATAATCCCATTATCCTAATATTCTCTGAGTGAAGAAAATCAAATTTCAATTTATGATGACTTAAAATCCTAATGCCAGCCCTCAAAGCAATAGGAGGAACAGTCATCAAAGCAGAGAACTAATTTTGATACTAGGCTGATGAAAGTCTCTCCCTACAACTTTTGCTATTTTTGTTTTGTTTTGTTTTTTGAGACAGAGTCTCACCAAGTAGCCCAGGCTGGCCTTGAACTTGTGGTGATCCTCCTGCCTCAGCTGCCCAAGGGCTCAGATTACAGGCCTGTTCCACCAGGCCCAGCCCAAGTGCTGTTTTAAGACCTTATACAGCAGTGATGGGGAATCTTAGAGACCAAATGACCAAACTGCAACCCAAAACCCAGTTATTTATCACAAAGTGCCAACACTGCAAATTAAACCTGAATACTGAGGTTTTAGTTTAGAAATAACTCTACATTAGCATCTTTTGTCTTAAAAGAAAAGCAAATAACATGCGTGCCAAAGGTTTGCCACTAATACTATACAGCATATATGTACCAAACTAAAAGTATATTAATAGGGCCAGGGATGTAGCTCAGTGGTGCCGCACCTGCCTAGCAAGTGCAAGGTCCTGAGTTTGATCCCTGGTACCAGGAAAGAAAAAAACCCAACAAGCCAGGCATTTAGCTCAGTGGTTTCACCTCCTGCTGCGCAAGCACAAGGACCCAAGTTCGATCCCCAGTACCAAAAAAAAAAAACCCAACAAAAAATAAAGAAAAAAAATAAAAGTATATTAATAGTAAATAATAGGTTAGGCCAGGGATTTAGCTCAGTGGTTTCACTGCCTGCTGTGCAAGCGCAAGGACCCAAGTTCGATCCCTAGTACCAAAAATAATAATAATAATAGATTATCTATTACCACAGAGATTTTTTTTTTTTTGGTACCAGGGATCGAACTCGGGTCCTTGCATTTGCGCAGCAGGCAGCGAAACCACTGAACTAAATCCCTGGCCCTACTACAGAGATTTTTAACAACAGAAACATAAAAATTCTCATCGAAAAATAAATTCCACTCACTCATTTCTTGAATATAGCCAGGAGAAACCATGCTATCAAACATACCTTTGAATAATCATCAGATAAAATTTCAAAGGTGACAACTGAAATAGGAAAAAATAAAATCATCAGTGTTCATAATGAAAATATAAATGATGCAAAGTTTCTAATTCAGCAAAGATGTCATACACAAACAGTCTACCCCTACATAAAACAAGAATGAAATCGCCACATTGCCCCCAAAAAAATGCTAAAAAGAAAATGAAAGGCTTTCCAGTCTCTCAATGTGCATCATCTGGAACGGAACTAAGGCAAATTCACAAAATATGTGTTCCGGACTGAAAAATACATTAAACACTTTTTTTGGTACGGGGGATTGAACTCAGGACATTGCACTTAAGAGGGAGACAGGTGTGGAACCACTGAGCTAAATTTCTTAGGGCTAGGGATTTAGCTCAATGGTTCCACCACCTGCCTCGCAAGCGCAAGGATCGGAGTTCGATCCCTGGTACCAAAAAAAAAATGTTGCTTAAACAAAGGATAACAGGAACTTTATTTTATATACATATATTTTTGTGTGTGTGTGTGTGCCTATTAATTTTTAAAATACTGGGTTTCACTGCGGTATCTTCACACACACATACATTTTGATCACACTCACCCTCTCACAGTGACTTTTTACCTGGACGCAACTCAAGAGTGGAAACAGCTGGTGACGGCTGCACACAGAGTTCCCACCCCACTGTTTTCAAACCCAAAGGATGTGGAAGTCAGAAGAATGTTCTTAAACGTCCACAGAATGCACATCCCACTGGCTTCTCTTCCCTCAGTCTCCAACACTAGGCCCCTGAAAAGGTTAAACTTCCGCACTTTAACTCGCTGTGACTGTTAACTGTCAACTTGATTGACTTAGGAGCCACACACTGGATGGGTGCAGCTCACTCCTGGGTGTGTCTAGTGGTTCATGGAGGGGGACCTTGGGGTCCATATCTGGCCCCCGTCCCCTTCCTCTCTGGTCCTGTTCCCCTCTCTGTTTCCCGGCCACCATGAACTGAGCAGCTTTGCTCCCTCATGCCCTTCCACCATGATGTTCCTTCCTTGGAGTAGTCAACCATGGACTGAATCCCCTGAAACTGTAAGCCAGATGCACCCTCTCCTCTGCTTAAGTTGGGGTGTCCTCCCTCATAAGGAATCTAACCAGGACACCTGCCCACTGAGCTGGGGAGAATTCTGAGAATGACCCCCCCAGTGACCTTCACCCCAGGGACTGACCCCCTCCTCCTGGGAGCACAGGTGGAATCTGGGACTTGCTGAGACCTCTGCTGCGGTGACATCACATTTTCTATCACATGAGCCCCTTCACAGAGTCTTCTCCCACTGGCAGCAGAGCAAGAAGTTGGGGAGATCTGAAGCACTAGGAGGGTCCACTGGGCGGCTGCTGGCATGGTGGGGGAGGTGGCCATGTGACATGGAGTGTGGGCAGCCTCTAAGGGCCAAGGGGGTCAGCGGGTGGCCAGCACAAGATTCGACTGACCCCAGTCCTGCAGCTGCAACCTGCTGAGGATGGCTAACAACCTGAGGGTCTGGAAGCAGACTCTCGCTGAGGGCTTGTGGCTGACACCCTGAGGTTGCCCTGAGCAGACACAGCTGGGCTGCCAGGGACTTCTGGTCTATGGAACAATAAGCTGCTGTGGGGAGGCTTTTAAGCCGTCATGTTGGCGCTCATTTGTTAGATGACAATGGAAAAGCAATAAATAATCCAGTCTCATTTTCAAAAGCAGAAAAGTAGACAAACCCAAAAAGCTCTTTGTGTGACTTCACAATTAGCCTCTCACCTTCTGAATCTAAACACCTTTCAAACTTCAAGGATAACTGGTAGGTGTCATAACATCGAACCCGAGGTTTGTATGTTCCTATAAAAAAAAGAATGTCATGTAAAACCCAAGGACACACTTTTCATGGTCAACACCCTGCAGAGTGCTGAGTGTGGTTTCCATTCAGAAGCAGGCAGGTTTGGCTATGTCCTAATCTACAGAAAGGACTGAAAAGCAGCTCCTCCCAAACATCCCATGGGAAATGAGCAAAGGATGAGAGAGGCATCGGGAAACAAAGGACTGAGAAGCTCCACAAACAACCTAACAAGAGTAGATTAAAACAGTGAAATAGTTTTTGTCCATCAGAACAGCAAAGGTGAGCCAGGTGTGGTGGCAAACGCCTGTGTTACCAGCACAAAGAGGCTGAGGCAGGAGGATCACCATGAGTTTGAGGCCAGCCTGGGCTACACAGGGAGTTTAAGGCCAGCCTGAGCTAGATAGATTCTGTCTCAAAAATCAACCCAAAACCCCCCCCAAAACAAACAAACAAACAAACAAAAATCAACCAAAAAGAAAAGTCAAGGTGACAGAAAGTGACCCCAGCCACCGCCACAGTCCCTGCTAGGAAGTGCATGTACACAGTAGCTGGAAAACACCTACCAGTGGCGAGGATGTACTGCCCGTCTTTGGACACCTGCATCGTGGTGCAGACGGTTGGCATCTCAAAGTCCTGGATGAGCTCGATCCTCCTGCGGACGTCTACAGAGAGAGCAGAAGAGGACGGCTGAACAGCGCAGCTCATCTCTGCCCCGGGAGGCTGGAGCCTGCCCGGCCAGCGGCCACTGCGGCTACAAACAGGGATCTGACATCCATGGGCCAGCCCGCTGGTCAGACAGCAGCTCTTCCCTCAGCCCCACTTAGTTCTGCTGCTACTGCTGCACTTGGGTCTGCAGTGTCCCCAGAGGCCCATGGGGGGACCTGAGAGGCCACGATGTCTGCTCACATGGGCCCAAAAGTGACAGGGCCACTTGACCAAAGATGATACTCAACATCCTGAGACCAAGTGAACCTTCCCTCTTTGTAAGTCATTATCTCAGGTATTTTGTTACTGTAGTGGAAAAGTGATACATTGTATTTTATTTCTACTTTTCAAAAAGCAAAAGTATCATCAAGAACTGAAAAAAAATCCAAAACAATGTATCACACATATACTCTGTGAGTATTTAAGACCTCCTGGAAGAACAGAAGAATCATTAAACCACCTTAAACCACCAAAGGTACTCAATCACAGCTAAAACAAAAATCTTCACTTGATCTTAGCCAAAAGGCCAAGAAGCGATAAAAACAAAAATCTTTATTTCCCTTTTTCCTGAATAACAACAGGCTTAAGCCTCCATCGATAAGAGAAATGGGAGCCAGGTGTGGTGGTGCACGTCTGTAATCCCCGCTAACTGGGTGATGAGGCCATAGGATCACAAACTGGAGCCCAGCCTGGGCAACTCAGGGAGAGCCTGTCTCAAAATAAAAACCAACAGCTGTGGATGCAGCTCAGGGAAGAGCGCCTGCCTAGCACATGTGAGGCCTTGAGTTCAGTCTCCACCAGCACAGAAAAAAGAAGAACAGGCAAAATATTCACTTTCCACTCGGTTAATCCCACTGCGCTTCTGTAACTTCTCCCTTCCACATAACAAGCACCAAGAGACCATGCAGATGTGGGGCACTGATGCAGCAGAAGTGGAGGAAGAATTTCACTCACCGACATCTTTCTTCTGCAACGCTCTCTTCTTCCTGTCTGAAAGCCACTGAAGGAAAACAGAGACTTCATTTTAAAACAAATTTACCTAAATTGTTTTCGGCTTAGAAATAACATGGGCTCGTATTAGAAAATTCAAACCTGATGGGAATACACAACATGGAAAGTGAAAATCTTCCATTCTCTTAACCCTACTGCTGATGGATTTTCTGGACTTTTCTTTTATATACTTACAGACTTTGACAATAAATTTCTTGAATTCCTGTGTTTTATTTGAGACAAAATGAAGTCACCAAGCTAAGCAGAGCAGTAAGCCTCAAATATGGGTTATAACTCACAGACGGAACAAACACACAATTCATTGTTTACCAAATTTTAAAGGTAAAACATTAAAAGGAGAACATTTAAAAAAAAAAAAAAAGGAACATTTAAGATACATTTTGTTTTACTTTGTTTTTTTGAGACAGAGTCTCACTATGTAGTTCAGGCTAGCCTTGAACTTGCTATGTAGCCCAGGCTGACCTCAAACTCATGGCAATCCTCCTGCCTCAGCCTCCCAAGTACTGGGACTAAAGGCATGGGCCACCTCAACCAGCAAGATGCATTTTTTATAAAGAGTAAAACTAGATAAACAGGTAACAGTGGGCAATAAACACACGGTGCTCTGTACAGCCATATTCACTGATACCTGAGTTTATTTTGTACCCCAGCCTGGCAGGCTGTGTAACTCCGCAGTGGGACAGGTGACAGCGATGAAGCCCTGTCTGCTGTGATGGCCCGGAAGCAATACTGTCCCCCGGGGCAACCCTGCTCCCAGTCTCCCGTGTCCGGGCAGGATAATGTCCCTGCCTGCTACCTCTGGGCCTGGAGACCCAAAACCATGACCCTCCAACTGTCCACTTGGTGGTCAGCAGAACGCCGACCCTTCAGAGTCTAAAGAGACTTCTGACCCCGCTCACCGTGTGCTGCCCCTGCTCCATCCTTCCCAGTTCTGGTTTCAGTACCTCCATACACCCAGTCTTTGGACTCAAAACTCTAGGGTCCTTTATTCCTTCCCTTGCTCCACTACAGCAGCAGCCCCAGCTCCAAGGTCTCTCCCAAGCGCACCACTGACCAAGCCCAGCCGCCAAGGCCCCTCCTGGGAAGCCCCACCCTGCCTGCGCTCGGCCCTCCCCAGCCACAGCCCCTGTCATCCTACAACATAGTCTGAAGCCCATGAGCATGAAGAATGCAACCCTAACTTCTCGATGGGCCCCCAAGGCAGACTTCTCCAGTCTCAGCCACCACAGCCACACCTGTGTTTCTTTTGGTCCCTCTATATGCCAAAGATGCTCCCACTTGGGGACACTTACTCTCCTGTTCCCCCGTGTCTTCACCTGACCGGCTCCTGTCCATCATCCCTGTTTTTGCTCCAATGCTGCCTCTGATGAAGAGAACTTTGCTGGCAGGCCCCCCCACTGCCCCCTGCAACAGTTCTTCTGACACTTCATTCATAACCACTCCCCACTAGTCACCAGAGTACTTCTTACCATCTGGAATTGTCTTTTCATTGGCTCACTTGTTTTTTACCCTTTTCTCCAACAAGCAACATCATCTGACATGTTCACCATGAACCCTAACACTTAAAACAGCTGCCTTGCCCGACTTGGTGGTGCACACTTGTAATCCCAGTACTTTGGGAGGCTGAGGCAGGAGGATCTCAAGATCAAACCCGGTCTGGGCTGCTTAGCAACTTAGTAAGACCTTCTCAAAATTTTAAAGGACTGGGGATACAGCTCAGTGCAAAGGCCTTGGTTTCATTTCCTAGCACTGCTGAAAAACAAACCACAAAAACAAACAGCACATAGTAACCCTTCAATAAATGAACAGGATGAACAAAATGAGTAGGATCCTGTGCGTGAAGAACAACTGGAATGCAAGGAATTATTTAAACTTGAATTTTGAGAAGGAAGAATCTAATCACGGGCTTCAAATGTTTCAGGGGAGAGAGGCACAGGAAAAACAGTTATGTTTACTCTGCTTTCTAAGGGCCAGACTGAGGCCAATAGTGACATGTCAAGTGACATGCCAAGTGGCTGTTTTGAAAACTCTTCCTTACAAGTGCAGGATCTCAAAATGGCAACAAGTTTCAGCCAAAGGCTGCCTCTTGCTCGAAATGTTTGGACAGACAGAGGCTGGATCATCACTTACAAGAAATAAACCAAACTTCAGAGCCCAGTCACTCTTCCCCTTGCTAGATCTTAGCTGCAGGTTTTACACATGAGATTAGGCTTGGGGCTGTAGCTCCATGCTGCAGTGTTTGCCTAGCATGTGCAAGGCCTCGGGTTCCATCCCCAGCACAGGGAGATAAAAAGGTATTTACCTTTTACCTTTTTATCCTCTAAGACTCTTAAGAGAACCGCAGATCTGTCTCAGCCCCTTCTAACCCCGATACTTTAAGACTAGATATCAAGTGCTGTACACAAGGTTCGAAAGTACTCTACAGGTGCAAGTCCGCATGGCTGTTGTTCACTGCTGTATCCCTGGGACTGGACCATAGGAGGAGCTCGGCTAAGAGCTGATGAGCGAGCATTAGAATGCGGAGGGCGTCAGGACGAGCTGTCTGTCAATCAATCCGCCAGCTTGTTCTCTTCCCATCGGCAGCGACTGTGAGCCCCTGAGGCCTGCGGCCGCGTCCTAGGCTCTGGAGATCCTCGGTCGGGTCCAGCAGGCCTCACAGGGCCTGCTCACAGCTCGGTGCAGCTTCTGGGGAGGTGACAGCCCTCGGCTACCACTGGCTATCACCTCCGCCGCGGCACTGCTCGTCCCTCGGCCTCCTGGGGCTAGAAGCTGCTGAGGTCCCAGAAAAACAGAACCGGGGCCTGGGCTCGGGGAGGCGAATCCCGGAGGAGCACCCCAGGGTTTCCAAGCACTGGGTCCTGGAAGACAGGCTCACCTCAGGAAGGGACTTGCCGCAGCTGAGACTGTAAATCTTCACCTCGTTGAGGTTGGAGACCTGCATGGTGGCGCGGAGGAGAGGCGACCTTGGTGCCAACAGCGGCTCTTTCCCAACCTGCGCGAACCAGCGTCTAAAGCTCAGGCCTTCACGGCGTGTGTGGCTGGCGCCGGGTGATGACGTTTACTTCCGGTGTGTTGATGACGCACTTCCCTGCGCCGGAAGTCGCTCGCGTTGGCCGAAGATAGGGACGGAGCGTTGTTGGCAGGGAGGCGGCGAGGAGACTGGTGAAGTCAGGCCTGTCGGCGGGGGCTGGCGGCGATACTGATGTTTGTAAGGCCAGATCCCGCTCTCCTTCCTCTCAGCATCCCGAGCAGCAGAGAGTGGCTCTCGGCAGCTGCCCAAGCCGAGATGTCGCGGTCCTGGACAGAGGCTGGGTGGGTCCACGAGCAAACTCTGGGAGCCCAGGGGACCCAATGAGAATTCCGAGAAGCGATTTTTTTTTCTTTAAGTTATTTTATTGATGACAGAAACTGCATAATTACAGATTTGATGAGGAGCCTGCAAACAATAAAGAATGTGTCTGTTGCCAGCAAAATACAATTACACCGGGTCCTTTAGACAAACAAATACAGAGTTCTGCACACCAGATGGCTCTTGGGCAACAAAGCCATTTTAGAATGTTTAATTGTGCTTCTAACAAAACCTTCACAGAATGAGGTTGTTTCCTTTACCCACTGTATTCTCTGCATTCCCATTATTACGTTGTAGCCAGCTTAAATCATTTCAACATAACCTGTAAACAATTCATGAAAGCCAACCCTCGTTTACAAAGTTTTTTTATTTCCTTCTACTTATTTTTTCTTTCTTTTTTTTTTTTTTTTTGCGGTACCAGGGATCGTTACCTACTTTTTCTTATAGAGGATTTCAAGAATGACTGCACAACTGGAGGAATATGGCAAGCAAAGATTCAGCAAATTCCACAGTTAAAGTGATCTTCTGTTCCTATCTATACGCTCCAATTTTAAAACATTCTCAAACTACTTATTTGTTTTCAGGCACCATATCAAATAGGCACAAGTTCTTTGAGATTTTTTGGGTTTTAAAATTTTTATTTATTTATTTATTTTGTACTGGGGATTGATAGCAGTAGCTTCGTACTCAGCTACATCCCCATCCCTTTTTCATTTTGAGACAGTCTCACTAAGTCTCTGAGTTGCCCTACCTGCACTAGAACTTGGGATCCTCCTGCCTTGGCCTCCCACAGTGCTGGGATTACAGGCGTACACTGCCCCTCCAGTCTGAGAAGTGTATTGTTCCCATTCTCCCAGGTGTCTGTAGCCTTGCGTTAGAAATAAATGCTCTTAAAAACTGATGTGTGATTTTCGTCTGCCCTTGACATTCATCTGTTAAAAGGAATAAAAACAGCTGAGCATGGTGGTACACACCTGTAATCCCAGCACTGAGGCCGAGGCAGGAGGATTGCAACTTCATGCCCAACCTGGGCGAATTAGCAAGACTGTCAAAAATTTAAAAAGAATTTCATATTTCGGTGTGAAGGCCCTGAGATCAATTCCAGTACACCAAAAATAAGCTGTACAATATAATAACTTACAGTCTCCTGAGTTATGTAAGCATCACCACAAACACTTTTAGGGCATTTTCATTATCCCAAAAAGAAACTGTTAGCTATCACTCCACACCCTTGCTGGAGCCAGAGGCAACACTGATCTGCTTTCAGCTCATTTTTTATAATTTGATTTTCAGCCTTATTTTCATAGTGTCTTGCTTTCTATTTAATATTAAACATCATTAAGTCAAACATAGTTTCCTTGTACAAGGGCGGAGATTACCCTTGTTCAGTTAAACTAATCAGCATCTCCCGGGTCTAAATGCAAAACTATAATTGGTCATTTGAGAAACAGGCTGTGCTCCATTAGCACATGGTGGGGTAAAGGACTTCTGTCCTGAGATTTTGTTGTTATGACTGCATGTGTGTGTGTGTGTGTGTGTGTGTACTGAGGAGGAACCCAGGGCATTCACACTGAGCTACTTCCCCAGCCCGTTTTTTTTTTTTTTTGAGACAGGGTTTCCTAGGTCCATAAATTGCCCAGGCTGGGCTGGGCTTGTACTAATGATCCTCCTACCTCAGCCTCCCAGAGTGCTGGTGTTGCAGGTGTGCACCACCCTGTCCACCTAATACCAGCTTTTTATTATTATTTATTTATTTATTTATTTAATTTTGGTACCGGGGATCGAACTCGGGTTCTTGTGCTTGCACAGCAGGTGGCGAAACCACTGAGCTAAATCCCCAGCCCCATTACCAGCTTTTTAAATGAGGCACCCAAATAGAAAACATTTACATTCTAGAATATGCAGGATGCTTTTAAAGAAATCTTGAATAAGCTTCCACATAAACAAATACTGCTTTCTGTTATACAAGACTGTATTGTAAAAGTCCATTGGACCGATCACCACTAGAATAGTGCTGTTAAGCCCTTGGGCTACGTAGGAGATTCTGGGAAGAGATTCCTCTTCCTAACTTTGAGAATTAAGGGCCCAAGACCACTTGGCTTCACAGTTCTATTTCCCACCAACCCCACATCTCCCTGCAGCTTCCTTAGCATCCCATCTGGCTCCGGACCTGCAATGGCCCCCAGCTCCCTGAAACTCATCTGCTGAATCTGTTGCTCATTTATTTAAGCTTCACTGTATAAACACCATTACAGTGCTTATATTCTTTTTCCTGATACTTTTTTTTTTTTTGGAGACAGGGTCTCGCTGTATAGTCTAGGCTGGCCTTGAACTCACTGCGTAGCCCAGGCTGGCCTCAAAGTCATGGTGATTCTCCTGCCTCAGCCTCCCAAGTGCTGGGGTTACAGGCATGTGCCACCAATCCTAGCTCCTGATACATTTTTATTACCAACCCTGATGGCTATTTAATGCACCTTGTGATGACTGATGTGATATGTATAAGCACCAATGCCCCCCAGGACCAGCGGAATTACTATGTACCGCAAACATGTGCTAGTAAAAATAAATAAATACTAGAACATCCTGCCAGTGTGATGTTAACTGGAGTGTTGTCCTCTATGCTTGGCAGTTTCCAACAGGTACTGAGTCACCTGAAGGCCAATAAGAATGTCACTTTTTAAAAGAGCTTGTGTACTCAGGAGGTTGAGGCAAGAGGATGGCATGTTCAAGACCAACCTGGTCAACTTAGCAAGACCTTGTCTCAAAAAATGAAAAAGGCCAGGGATGTGGCTCAGTGTGAGGCCCTGGGTTCCATCCTCAGTACTGCCAAATAAGTAAATATGTTCATAAGCAAAATAAAAAGAAAGAGGGCTGGGGATTTAGCTCAGTGGTCCCTGCACCTGCCTCACAAGCACAAGGTCCTGAGTTCGATCCCTGGTACCTAAATAAATAAATAGAAGAGCCTGTAAATCTGCAAGCCTGAGCTTTTGACCTGTTTCACTCCTGGGTTGCCTTCTCCTCAGGACTGAGCTGTGCTGCTTGACCGTGGGTGTGTCTGCTATGTTACCAATTCAAAAAACAAACACTGGGTGTGTGCCTGTAATCCCTGTGCCTGAGAGGCCGAATCAGGAGGACCCTCATGAATTCAAGGCCAGCCTGAGCTACATAGTGAGATCTGGTCTCAAAAAAAAAAAACTAAGGATGTAGCCTATCCCCAGCACTGAAAAAGAAAGAAGAAAGAAAAGGAAGACCCCATCCAATGGTACTGCTCCCCTGCATGGAATCCACTTTTCTAACTGGTCCCGCAGACCCTGCACCACCTCACTGACCTCCTGATCCACACCCTGCTGTGGACTTGCTCTTCCTGCCCCAGGGCCTCTGCACACACCATTCTTGCTGCCCAGCACGCCCTGGCCCAGCTTCTCCATGCCTGGCCACTTTGAGCTATCTCCATCCCAGCCAAATGTCACCCTGAGAAATGTCAGACCCAGACCAGTGCCTCCCACAGTACCCATTTACTTTACTGTCTTCCTTTCAAATGATCTTCTCTTTGACACTTTGACATTCTTTTCCTTTTGCAGCACTAGGGATTGAACCCAGAGCCTTCATACTGAGGTACATCCCCAGCTCTTTTATTTTTATTTTAAGACAGGGTCTCACTGAGTCACTAAGCTGTCCAGGCTGGACTCAAACTTGTGATCCTCCTGCTTCAGCCTCCCAGAGTGCAGGGATGACAGACATGCACCACCACACCCAGTTTAACACTTCCACATTCTCATCCTGACCTCTCTATACTCCAGGCCCCTGGAGTGCAGGTACATTGTCCACTGGACTGCTGGTGCAATGCTCAGGGCAGAGCAAGGTGCTTTCCAAGTACTCATCAAGGATTTGGTGCTGTCCTCCTCCTCAGGCCCTGCCCATCTGTCTGCTGCGTCTGTTTTCTACACAGATACCAAGCCCATGTGCTCCTCCTTCCCTGAGTGTCACTTAAGTTTGTGCAGAAACTTCCAAGTTTTCCATATTTTCAAAATACCACGAATTGGATGCGGTGGTGCACACTTGTAATCCCAGCACTGTGGGAAGCTGAGGCAGGAGGATCACAAGTTTGAGCCCATGCATTGCCATCCCACTTTTCCCTGTATTTGTGACCACACTGATGGTAGCTCCTCTGATGACCTTGATAATTAAAGCTACACCTGGCTCTTTCATGCTTTATAGTAACCTGTTTTGCTGAGTCCCAATACATGGAAGCAAGTAACAGGAAGCCTTCCCCGACCAAGCTAAGCTGAGGTGCCCTGGTGCTGCTCGTAACAGCGTGCCTCTGGTGCAAATTCGATGCTGTTGATTTGATGCTGCTGAATTCAACCCCGTGATTGGTCCAAATTTGAACCTGCTGATTGGCCCTAATTGAGTCTCCTGATTGGTCCAAATGGATCTAATTCAAACCTTTCGACTCAGGCTTCCTGATTGGTCCAAATCAATTCCACTGCTTGGTTCAGA